ACAGTACTGAAAGAAGACTCAAGCCCTGAAGTCGACAAACAATCAGAAGTTTCCGCCAGAGATTATAGCAGGCGAATGTGACGAAGAGCAAGCACAGGAAACAAAACAGTTTTACATTTTAGCTCATTAGTCTCCATTAACCAAAACAAAACAGTTTTACACGGTGGCTCATTAGTTTCCATTAACCAAAACAAAACAGTTTTACACGGTGGCTCATTAGTTTCCATTAACCAAAACAAAACAAAAACGAAAGAAAACAGTCTATGTCACTAATACCATTACAAGCACAACTCCAGCTTTGGTTACACGTGTTCCTCAACAGTGGAGGTCACACATCGAAATATCTTTTCTAAACAATGGTAGTCATGTAGAGCATTTGATATAAATAAAAATGGATTAAAAGAAATGTTAATTTTCTGATGTATGGAAACAATTATGGGACACGTTTAATGTAGTACTGGTTTAAACACTGACAGATAAGTCAAGGAATCCTGACATTCATGTTGTTACCAAATGAAGAAGAAGAAGAAGAAGAAGAAGAAGAAGAAGAAGAAGAAGAAGAAGAAGAAGAAGAAAGAAGTTTAGTAGAGAATCTTGCCTGTTCAGCATGTAGATCGTCCCTGTCATGCATGTGCTGGTGTTTGCCCAAGTCGGTAGTGATCTCACCCACTTCCGTGTAGAACTGGACATCAATGTGTTTCTTCTTGCCAAACAGGATGGCATTCTGTAGGAATATTCAAAATACTATTAATAACAGAAAAGATGTTAACTATCCATTTTTAGAGAAGACATCTAATGTGACACTAAGAATATAGGAATATTTCTAAAGGGACACACTAAAAATGGAGAAAATTTACTCTGCTCTTAAAAGGGTAGTTGATTCACTGACTTGTTTACAGCTAGGCTGCAATATTTGCAGCTTTCAGCCCAAAATATCAGATTTCAGAGTCCTCATTGGCTGCCTTGTAAAACACACATCTCAAGGGACAGTGCCACCCCCCCCCCCCCCATTTCAAGATGGCTGGCACCAAATTAAAACACGGGGGGGGGGGGGGGATTTTATGTGCTAATTCCTTTCTTCTGCCCTTATCCTCCAACTGAGCATAGTCCCTCGATCAACTCATCCTATTCTTTGCATTGCATTCAGGCCCCCCCCCCCCCATTTTTTTGTAACTTCTCTCTCTAGTTACCTTCTCAGTGTGATTTTTTTTGGGGGGGGGGGGGGGGGTTAGGTTCATCTTTATTTCTCTGACTTGCCTTAGGTTCTAGTGCAAAGATATTCTAGTTATACTGTTTGTTAACAGTTTTTCTCAATACATGCCCTACCCACTGCCTGTGTCTTATCCTCACTTCACGATTCACTGGAATGTTGTTCAGCTCTCCCAAAAGGCCCACCTGAGTGATTCTATCATACCATTTAATTCTCTCTATTCTGTGCATCATGTGACAACTGATCTAGCAATATACTGAGGCAGGCCCTATGTACCCAATAACCTGTACATTTCTGGCACACTGCGTGGTGTGGCCTGTGCTCCAGATGCAACAAAAGAAGATATGAAAAAAGACATAGTAATTATCTTACTTTGAGGTTGAAGTGCAGCAGGATAATCATCTCACCGTCGCAAGGCTGGAAGAAGGCGTGTTTGATGTTGTTGTACAGTATGTCCACTTTGTCCCCTCGAACAGACGTGAATCGGAAACCTGCGGACAGTTTGGTTCATGAAAAAGTGTTCTTGTCTGCACATTTATCAATAATGTTGGAAATGGGGAGGGGGAACGAGAGACACTGTAGTAGCAAATGATTAGAATGCTTGCCGACTCACCCCGTGGTCATTGTTACACATTGTCCTGGGTTCCAAACCAACCTGATCTGAAATGGTTACCAGGATATTTCCCGTAGTAAAGGCAGTCAGTGTTATACTGATTTCTGAAGGATCTGCTCATTCTTACATGACCAACCCTATTTAATGGCTCCAGAACTGACAGATGAAGTCAAAAGTGTACTTTTTAATTATCCTATTCTATGCAGATATTGAAAGAAAGAAAAACAGTTACACTCTACAGAATCTGAACTTTGGGGGAAATTGCCTCATAAACAGCATCCTGTCCCGGAAGCTGGGGTATTCTGGCCAAGTTAAATGTCAGGGTGGCCCGGAGAGAACAGTGATAGAGAGTAGTTTCCGGGAAGAAAGAGGCAAGGGCAGATCTCTACAAGGGTGAATACAAGACACTGAAGAAGCGTTGGCTATGAAAGCACATAGGGCTGGAAAATCTGCTACAGAAAGAGAATTTCAGGCATGTCATGATGAGAGCGACATTCTACAAAGTACCTGCTGGTTGGATGATGCAAGTATCATTGAATGAATATTTCCAGATGATTAATAATTGTGTTTTGTCCTTTTCCACGTTTTTGCTAAGTACAGCAGTACCAATTTGACGCTGGAGTGAAATTTTATAACTCTGGTAACTGTCGTAAGCCCTTCGACTTCCAGAGGTCTCCAAAAGCTTGAATATATTTCATAGTTTAATGGAGCCTGTCTTAGTAAACAAAATTCACATGATTGTATTATCAAAAACTGCATTTTTTGGAACAGCTTCAGCTATAGTCATATCACAAATGTCACAAACTTTAAATATCTAATATTCAATTGAATATCACACAGAATTGCCTCACTGGGATTGTAACATCTAGAATTGTATCATTTAAAATCAAATCCCACAGAATTGTAACATCTATAAATGTCTCACCTAAAACTGTATCATCTACAAATATATCACTCAAATTGTATCAACTAGAAATCTGATCTATCACCTAGAATTGTATCGCCTACAAATCTATCACCTAGAAAGATGCACAGGAAAGAAACAAAAACAAAACACACCCACACACAAATAATAATAAACAAATACCATTTGTGTGAGCTTCCAAGGTGCCAGAAATTCTCTTGGAGACTATGTTTGGACGGATGTACAGGTCTTTCAGTTTTGGGTTGCCTCTGTTTGGGTTGATGATCAGGGTGTCTTGTTTCACAATGCCCTAGATAACAACAGTTATATAGGTTGTCCCACAAGTTTCATTCAGATAAATGTTCAGTTTCAACTTTTGTCATTTCTGTACTACAAATTTGCTTCTGTTGCATAAAATCTATGTTGATAAATAAATTTCATTTGTTCTACCTTTCGTTCAATTTCTTCATTACTTTTCATTCACAGATGTGGCTCACCGCTGAACCATTTACATGCACACTGTATATTTCTAAATTTTAGTAATACAAACATTGTGCAACAATTTTTGTTAAATGACTGCAATTCTTTGTCGTGTGCGGCCCCGATGTGACTCATACGGCCCTGGGGGAGCCTCAGTTTGACATGGCTACTATTTATGAAAACTCATTTGGATAAATATTCTCCTCTGCTGAAGAACATCTATAAACACTGCTGGTGTGATTGATGCTTATAATAGCATTGGTGGTATGTTCCCAGGTATGGAAACTTATGACACGCATGTTTATTTTTCCCAGGTATGGGTGGGAACTTGGGATATGTATGTTTACTTTTCCCCAGGTATGGGAACTTAAGACACTCTGTGGATTATATGATGGGAATTTGTTAAGAATGACTCTCAGTGCAGGCAGATATTTCCATAAGTCTTTTTCCTCTTCTTTACGTTCACCAGCTGTAAACTCTGGCGGAAAATTCTGGTTGTTTGTCCACTTCTGAACTGCAGTTCTGTTCCAGACATTGTTTTTCCCATAATGGGGCCCCGGAACACACACAGGCAATTTCCATAAGTGAATGGATTACCTCCAGTATTCTGCCACAGGTCACATGAGGAGAATCACAGCACAGTGCATAAACATCTTCATATGATTATGTATAACAAACACAAAAAAAGACAGTGCATGTCAACAAGTATGTCACAAAAGCAACAAACTAAGGGTGTTCTGAAATCGGATGTGATGGGCAGAATAGTGCAGATTTCAACTGCATTTTCAAGGAAAATCAAATAAGGAAGAAAACTTAGTTCACTCAGAGCATATGTTCCATATGGGATAAACAACAGAAGATGAAAATGTGATCCTGATTCCGCTAATGCCAAGATGTCTACTCGTGCACACTCATCTGAAAGTTCAGAACCTGACAAGCAGTTGAACGCAGATTTGAATGAGGGTGAGATGATGTCTGCATGGATTTGAGTCAATAATAGAAATGAGGTGGTTCAGATGGCTAACTATTCCAAAACAGCGCAAGTTTTTGTCCTGCTAGGGCCACTGCTGCCGTCTCTGACTTGATTGGGGCATTTCATTAACCCTTTCGCCCCAGTAGCCTAGTAAACGTAATGCCAAAGACCCATAATTTCAGGATATCGGCTCTTCCCAATAATTTTTTTTAAAGCAACCATTTTAGACAGTTCCATAAAACAATTCATAACATTCCATTTTTGACATAACAAACCAATATAAATTACGTACTTATGAAATGGAATAATCCGTTTAAAATTAATGCAGCAGAGAATCAGCTGGATTACAGCTTCCTGAGGTTAAATAAATTAAATATGACTCATTAAAAAAATTAAATACGACTCATTTTTGACCCTATGACCATGGCCGCTGGAGACCTCTGAGACTAACGAGAAATCATGACATCGTAATTTCTATTAATAGCTAGTTTATCAAAAGGAAAACTCACAAATGATATTTTTAGTAATTATTGTCATTTGTTTGATCTATTAAACATTTGCACATGTGCAAATGGAATCAATGCTCTAAACAAGGATTACTGTTAACAAGTCCTTACAGCCGTGTGCCGTTTAAGCAGCTTTAACGGAACGTGCCACATACCTGAAGTGCCAGTTTCGGTACTTCCCAGGACGAAAGGTTTTTATCTCCTGTCTTTACGGAAAATACAGCAAGCTAACATGGCTTACTGGACCCAATGGAGCACAGAGTGGCAGCTCTATCTCTACAATATTGAGGCATGGGAGGAGAAGACAACAGTACCTCTTTCTCTCTCTCTTCAGCTTCCCTGGTTTTGAACTTCTTCTGAACTTCTTTGATGAGTCGGAAGGCGGTGTTTAAATTGGAAGATGGTGCTGATAGCTCGCCTGGTTCTTTAGTGTTGGAGCTGCGGTAAGTTCTGTTGAAATAACATATCTAACATGAACACCGCATACGTCAATTAATCCCTACACACACATGAAATGACATAACAATCTCTGATTCTTGAAATTGTGAAATGCCGCAAGATCAAATACCATCACAAGCACTACATCTCAGAAGATCAGCTACAAGAGCAAGAGGACGGCCACGGAAAATTTGGATCAACAATATTAAAGACACTCTACGCCAGCACGGCATGACAATAGCCAGTGGCAGCCAACGTGCACTGGATCGCAAATTATTCCTCCGCACGGCGTTTAACGGCAGAAGTGGTTTATGATGATGACACACACAAAAATGGCTGACACTTTCCATTTCTGCGGCCAGCTTTTTGTTCCAGTTTGCTCTCTAAGCAGCGGCAGTTTCTTCTTGAGGGGATCCTGAAAAAATACTGCAAGCGTGGAGTGGTGGTTGAGGCAGTGATTTCCTGGTTGAGGCAGTGATTTCCTGGTTGAGGCAGTGATTTCCTGGTGGAGGCAGTGGTTTCTTGGTTGAGGCAGTGATTTCTTGGTTGAGGCAGTGATTTCCTGGTGGAGGCAGTGATTTCTTGGTTGAGGCAGTGATTTCTTGGTGGAGGCAGTGATTTCCTGGTGGAGGCAGTGATTTCTTGGTTGAGGCAGTGATTTCTTGGTTGAGGCAGTGATTTCTTGGTGGAGGCAGTGATTTCCTGGTGGAGGCAGTGATTTCTTGGTTGAGGCAGTGATTTCTTGGTGGAGGCAGTGATTTCTTGGTGGAGGCAGTGATTTCCTGGTGGAGGCAGTGATTTCTTGGTTGAGGCAGTGATTTCTTGGTTGAGGCAGTGATTTCCTGGTGGAGGCAGTGATTTCTTGGTGGAGGCAGTGATTTCCTGGTGGAGGCAGTGATTTCTTGGTTGAGGCAGTGATTTCTTGGTTGAGGCAGTGATTTCTTGGTTGAGGCAGTGATTTCTTGGTTGAGGCAGTGATTTCCTGGTGGAGGCAGTGATTTCTTGGTTGAGGCAGTGATTTCCTGGTGGAGGCAGTGATTTCTTGGTTGAGGCAGTGATTTCCTGGTTGAGGCAGTGATTTCCTGGTGGAGGCAGTGATTTCTTGGTTGAGGCAGTGATTTCTTGGTTGAGGCAGTGATTTCTTGGTTGAGGCAGTGATTTCTTGGTTGAGGCAGTGATTTCCTGGTTGAGGCAGTGATTTCTTGGTTGAGGCAGTGATTTCCTGGTTGAGGCAGTGATTTCTTGGTTGAGGCAGTGATTTCCTGGTTGAGGCAGTGATTTCTTGGTTGAGGCAGTGATTTCTTGGTTGAGGCAGTGATTTCCTGGTGGAGGCAGTGATTTCTTGGTTGAGGCAGTGATTTCTTGGTTGAGGCAGTGATTTCTTGGTTGAGGCAGTGATTTCTTGGTTGAGGCAGTGATTTCCTGGTGGAGGCAGTGATTTCTTGGTTGAGGCAGTGATTTCTTGGTTGAGGCAGTGATTTCCTGGTGGAGGCAGTGATTTCTTGGTTGAGGCAGTGATTTCTTGGTTGGGGCAGTGATTTCTTGGTTGAGGCAGTGATTTCCTGGTGGAGGCAGTGATTTCTTGGTTGAGGCAGTGATTTCTTGGTTGAGGCAGTGATTTCTTGGTTGGGGCAGTGATTTCTTGGTTGAGGCAGTGATTTCTTGGTTGAGGCAGTGATTTCCTGGTTGAGGCAGTGATTTCTTGGTTGGGGCAGTGATTTCTATCAGTTACCATGCCACTCTGATATAGCTTAATCACAAGAGGCACTACTCACACTAAAAACTTGTGTCCTGCTTTGGCATGCACACAAAAAATAGCAGCACATGACAAGGGAACATCGCAACCCACAAAAAAATGAGTCACTGAGAACTAACACAACCACTCGACGCCAACCTGGAAGTCCATAGAACACATTAAAAAATGAAAAATAGAAGTTCTTTACACGTGATTTGGAAGTGGGCTGATGAGAGTGTTCCGTCTGTGGTGTCTGGTCACTGCATCTATGACAGGGGTACACAGTCTCTCGGATTCCCTGCCCAGTTGGTCCGAGCTGATGGTGACAATCTGTTCATCAGGTATAGCATAGACATATGTCAGAACAACCGTATGGGTTTGGAGGGCCGATTATAGGGAAAACAAGAATAGACCCACTGCCTACCCAAAAGCATGTCATAAGAGTCAACTAATTGGGAGCTTCCTTCGAAATCTGAGTGCATCTGCCTGAGAGGCAAGGAACCAACAGTCTGCACACAAATGAGTCAGATCTGTAAAATGGATGCACACGCAACACTCAGGTTCTGGAACAAGGACTGCAGTCCAGAAGTGGACGAACAACCAGAACTTTCCACCAGAGTTTACAGCTGGTGAACACAAAGAAGAAGAAGATATGCCAGAAGTCTGGCTTATTAATCTATACATCCAGCAAATTATGGTTACAGTAAGGTACAAGGTGTCCCTTTCCTCCTGGTACACATAGTAATGAGCAGACTGGTTTAGCTACTGCTGCCCTTCTAGGGGTTTGAACACATCAGTCCAAGCTGATAGGCAAGCACGCTAGCTACTACACTACAACACTCATGGTCCAAGTTTAGTCAAGTAAAACCACTGCCTGAAGTCAGAAGACACAAAATGATAACACAACTTACATTTCCTTCAAGAAGGTCATGTCTGGGTTTGGGAAGCTGCCTTCGTTTCTGCCCAGCGCAGAGCCAGGATGGAAGAAGTTGATTCTCAGGTACGTGTACTCTCCTTCTACAGACTGGCTGATATTCTGTTAGAAGGGAAAGAGAAGTAGGCAGGCTATACAATGACAAATAGTATTCCTCACAATAAAGTAAAATGATGTATCACACAACGGATGGGATTCTGACAACAGTCAATCACACCTTGTTTGGACTTCTTCGTTTGCCCCATTTTTCTTCTGGCTGTAAATGCATTGTGTCTGTTTAAAACTGAAACTATTCAGCTAATTCTCTGGGGATTTGGTTAGCCTTCCTGGTTATTTGTTTGTTTGCATAGCCTCCTAGTTGTGACGTCATTTTGTCCACTCATATGCAGCTGGTACCTTTAGCAGGCCTGGACTGCAACAGAAAACATGCATGCCGATTGAGCCTAAGAGTAAGACAGAGGCACAACAAATGCTCTCCATGCCAACTGCTCATCCACTGAGGTTTTCTTAAATGATACTTTAGCACTAGGATTCATCTTTTTCTTTTGTCTGGTCACTGTCAGCAGGTTATAGTCAAATGTCATGTTTTTCTTTATCTGCCTTGCGTTTCTCAGGTGGCTAAGGCGGTAGATTTGTTCACCTTTTTACAGGCTTCAATGACATCATTGCTCCAGAATTGCTACCTCTTGCACACAGCTGTTGAGAACACACCATGAAGGGAGCATGCATAGCAGGAACCTACCAATCATCAGCAGGTGTCCCCTGTCAACCAATGCTTTGCCCCGTTTATCACCTAAACTACTGACTGTGCTCCTAAGAGACCAGTGAGATGCAGTCAGTGAATGTAGCATTCATGGCTTGAACATAATGCTTCTCAGCACGTTCAACTTTCCCCTCTTGTGGACTTTATGTCTGGAATGATTCCACCTAGATAAGTGGTCTCCAACCTGTATCAGATCATGCGCCCTTTGGTTATTTGGCAAGACCCCCAAGCTCTATCCATATCAAACAAAATGTAATTTAAAAGAGGAGGATATTATCAGGGAAACAGAAAGTATGGAGATACCTGTTGGTCAAAATGTTTTCTTAATCTATAATCAAATGTGTGTTATCAATTAATTAGATTTTTAACGGCAGATGTACAAACTGCTTATGAAAACAAAAATGTCTGTGTCAGTTTGTTTAAGTCTTTTATTTAAAAAAATATTTTGTTTACAATTAAACTAAACCAAAACGTAAGTATAACGGATTACAAATGCCCTCAGTTTCAAAACTGCTTGCCGCCCGCCCCTCAGGATGGAGACCACTGTACTGACCTAAACATTGTTGTTATACGGATACTTTTAAACGTACAGTGTGGCAGAATGGAGACTGTTTATTCACATACAGTGTGCCAGAATGGAATCTGTTTATTCACAGACAGTGTGGCAGAATGGAGACTATATTCACAGACAGTGTGGCAGAATGGAGACTGTTTATTCACATACAGTGTGCCAGAATGGAATCTGTTTATTCACATACAGTGTGGCAGAATGGAGACTATATTCACACACAGTGTATCAGAATGGAGACTGTTTATTCACACACAGTGTGGCAGAATGGAGACTGTTTATTCACATACAGTGTGGCAGAATGGAGACTATTCACACACAGTGTGGCAGAATGGAATCTGTTTATTCACATACAGTGTGGCAGAATGGAGACTATATTCACACACAGTGTATCAGAATGGAGACTGTTTATTCACACACAGTGTGGCAGAATGGAGACTGTTTATTCACATACAGTGTGCCAGAATGGAATCTGTTTATTCACATACAGTGTGGCAGAATGGAGACTATATTCACACACAGTGTATCAGAATGGAGACTGTTTATTCACACACAGTGTGGCAGAATGGAGACTGTTTATTCACATACAGTGTGGCAGAATGGAGACTGTTTATTCACACACAGTGTGGCAGAATGGAATCTGTTTATTCACATACAGTGTGGCAGAATGGAGACTATATTCACACACAGTGTATCAGAATGGAGACTGTTTATTCACACACAGTGTGGCAGAATGGAGACTGTTTATTCACATACAGTGTATCAGAATGGAGACTGTTTATTCACATACAGTGTATCAGAATGGAGACTGTTTATTCACACACAGTGTGGCAGAATGGAGACTGTTTATTCACACACAGTGTATCAGAATGGAGACTGTTTATTCACACACAGTGTGCCAGAATGGAATCTGTTTATTCACATACAGTGTGGCAGAATGGAGACTATAATCACACACAGTGTATCAGAATGGAGACTGTTTATTCACACACAGTGTGGCAGAATGGAGACTGTTTATTCACACACAGTGTATCAGAATGGAGACTATATTCACACACAGTGTATCAGAATGGAGACTGTTTATTCACACACAGTGTGGCAGAATGGAGACTGTTTATTCACACACAGTGTATCAGAATGGAGACTGTTTATTCACACACAGTGTATCAGAATGGAGACTATATTCACACACAGTGTGGCAGAATGGAGACTGTTTATTCACATACAGTGTGGCAGAATGGAGACTGTTTATTCACATACAGTGTGGCAGAATGGAGACTGTTTATTCACACACAGTGTATCAGAATGGAGACTGTTTATTCACATACAGTGCGGCAAAATGGAGACTGTTTATTCAGAGACAAGCATGCGGCAATGTTTTTTTTATCACATCAATAATTATTTAACCCATAAATTTCATGCTAAAAAGAAGCAAGTAATTGGTGATGGGGAAAAAAAAAATTCCATACCTTGATTGTAGAAATGTGAAATGGTGTTGGTGTTCCAAAAATGGGAAGAACAAGTGTCTCATACTTTTTATCTGTAGACAACAAAATATCAAGTGACAATACTGACCAACAAAGTGCACATCTACCAACACGGCACTATCTACCTTTCTTTATCAACATGATGTGCCTTGCCAAGAAGCATGAGAGGTCATGATTCGCTTTCTTCTTCTCCTGAACTCACTATTTAAAAAAAAAGGCAGTTGTGGTTTACAGTTCGGCTGTGATATCTGCGCCTTTCAGCTGCATGCTTGTTGAGACGCAGTGGGTCTATCCATTTGTTTTCACCAATAATAACCTGCAAAACCTACAAAGGGACATGATTCACCATCTCACATGATCACCAGCCCTGGATCACATATGTGTTCTTGTCTGTTATGCAAAGTGGCTAAGCCACTCAAGCGTTGTTTCTCTGTCTTTCCTTTGCTTGCTTCCCATCAAGTTTATCTCAGATATCTGCAAAACTGTTTAGGGGCTTTCCAAGCCTGCCTTTTATTATTGCATGTTTTTCCCCTTCTAGTGAACAGATTAGCGGCTGGCTGAATGATTAGACACTGGATTCTCATGCGTGAGACCCAGGTTTGAATCTTGGGACTGAAGTTTTTACTGTCGGGGATGAAAATAAACATGATAATCTGAGGTCCATACCAAGTGCACTGGCCAGGTAGCCATATGTCTTCAGGTTCAAGAACCTCCTGGCCTACAAAGAGGTAAACACCAGCAGCAAACATTTTTTATAAAACCTTATCTATCAGGTGAACACAGCTGAACACTAGGAAATGTTCTAGGTAGACAAGGTGGGCAGTGGGACATTGATCACAGCATTCACTAAATGTAACTTGTCCTTAAAATACGAGATTAACATCAAGACACAAATTGACTCAGGGTTATCTTTTTTTCATGAGTTCATCCATAGATGTAATTGTGTTGTGCCCACATAGCATGGCTTCCATTTTTGTGTCTTTTCGGCCGACACATCCAGCTTCTGCAGGCATTGGTTGGACACGATCAGACCTTCCGGGCTCAGAAAATGACATGAGGTTCTTCACTTTTATATAGCTTGCTTCTGAATTACCTTAGTCTAATTTACCCCAGTTTATTTTACCTTCCCTTATCTTACTTTACGCATTTCCCCATATTGCAAATGTCAGGGTAGGACAGATGCTTGTTCTTTTATCACTTCTACATCAGGAAATGTCAGCGTCTGTGGTTAGGCATTGCGAACATGCTTCGCAATGCCGGGTTCGATCCTAGCTGCGGACCTTGCGCCGTTTTTAACAGTGGTATCAAGAAGCTGACTGTCCAGAAAGCAAAGGCAAACTACTGGGCGTAAATGTGCCTAGAAAAACCACAACAGCCGGGGGGAAATCTGAGGTTGGTTCTGCAAAGGATATGCAACTAAATTTTATTTTTAACATCAGGAGCTGAGATAATGTGGCTGGACATTGGCCCAAAGTCTTCCATTCAAATCCACATCAAGGCAGAGTTTCAAAATCAACCTAGCCTAAAATGGCTACTGGGAAATTCAAGGGAAGTAAAAGCAACCTCATCGCCCAAGAGCATCGATAAATCTATACAAAATGTGTGCCTGGCACCATGCTCCTGATTCACCAATGGCATGAATAAGATACTTGACTTTCCCATTACATCTGGTGATCTCTCTGGCAAACCTCTACACCCCAAGGTAAAAGAGGAGCGACTAAGTAAGAAAGACTTCTCCATTACATCTGGTGATCTCTCTGGCAAACCTCTACACCCCAAGGTAGAAGAGGAGCGACTAAGTAAGTAAGACTTCTCCATTACATCTGGTGATCTCTCTGGCAAACCTCTACACCCCAAGGTAGAAGGAGCAACTAAGTAAGTCAGACTTCTCCATTACGTGACCACATTTGTGACAGGCAGCAAATAGAAAACATGTCTTACCAACAAACAATTTCAAATCCTTGCACTCTGATTCATCAGGGAAATGGCTGACATTCTTGTATGACACATTTGATTTCTTGGACCTAAAAGCAAATGTTGGCAACTGTGAACCTTTATAGCAACAGTGAAAAGACAGAAAGTGAAAAGACGGAAAATAAAAAGGTATTTACATGCAAAAAGATCCGCCTGACTCTGCCAAAACAATATTTCAAGGCTCAGCAGAGAGAAAGAGGAAAAGAGGCAGACCTAGGAAGACATGTACACACAATTTGGCTGAATGGACATGCCTCAAACATGCAAGCTTCAAGTCCAATCATCAGACCGACAGTGTTAGAGGTAATTGACCAGCCAATCAACAGCAAACTCGTGACCAACAACAACACACACATATTTAATAATCACTGACAACAATCAAATCACATATAACACAAAGAAAAATGTTACTTTCTCCGTATATTCATAACTACTTGCCCGACTCTCTGGCGTAATTGGCTAAACCGGATTGCACGGTGACGAACTCCTTGTGGTCCAGGTTCACTCCCGGGGGTAGGCAGGAAAGCCACATTTCTCCCAGATTTGCGGTATTTACAATGGAATCAAGGCCGAACGGTTGCGATATCCATAATACCGAGCCTAAGGGTAAACAACTCATGGCTTCTGGATACTAGAAGAGACAACATTTATAACTACTTCAAATTCAAAACCAAGACACTCTTGACAGTATGATAACCAAGAGAAGATAGAAATGGCTTGGCCACATTATGAGAATGAATCCAGATAGCCCTGCCAAAACAGTTCTCAGTTGGATACCAGAGGGAAAGAGAAAAAAAAGGAGCGCCCAAAAACAACATAGAGGCGAAAAATGGAAAATGAACTGAGTGCGGCATCTCAGACATAGAAAACTGCACTGAAGATTGCACAGGATAGGAAAGCATTGAAAGTCCTCTATGAAGCCTCATGTGCCACTCGGCATAAAGAGAACTGAGGATGATATATTCGTCATAGTGCAGCACCACTTCACTCCCTACAGAACTTTCACACATCCCTCATATGATATTACATGGTACTTTCATATATATCACATATGGTATTAAACAGCAATTTCCCACAACCCTTATATGACACCACACAGAACTTTCACACAACCCACAATTGGCACCACACACAACTTTCACACACCCCACATATGGCATCAGACAGCACTTTCACACATCCCATATAAGGCTTCACAAACCACACAAACTTTCCCTTCAACACTTTCTCATCTGTTGTCCCCCACCCTGACCAAGAATCCTACGTATACATTCACATGCACCTACTTTTTATCTTCTCCCCCAGTCTTGGTCCCTCTGAGTCTTTCCCTGGCCTCCTCATTGAGTCGAACTGCCAGTTCCTTCTGGTGCTGCTGCCTCTTCTCCTCTGAGGGTGCTTCAGTCTAAAATGCCAATGGAACAAAAGAGCAGACCATGTACATAACAGAGACATTTTCCAGTTAATGAAAAGTTGGTAAAGTAAACGACCTTTTTCACTCTTTAAGGCTTTGGGCATAGGGGATTAGACACTTTTATTATAGACTGGCTGGGACTTTAAAACAAATGTTAAATTATAATGTCAAATCAGTACTGCTGTATGGAGCCGTAAGATGGGGAACTGAAATAATTACTAATAAACAGCAAGTATGGTATGATAGAAGAGAAGAGAACATAGAAACCTACATAAATAATGCTGCACCGAAGATCAAACCAGCATAAATAATGTTTAGCTGCACACAAGATCAAACCCACATATATAATATTTAGCTGCACCGAAGATCAAACCAGCATAAATAATGTTTAGCTGTACACAAGATCACACCCAAAAATATAATATTTAGTTGCACAGAAGATCAAACCCACATGTATAATATTTAGCTGCACACAAGATCAAACCCACATGTATAATATTTAGTTGCACACAAGATCAAACCCACATGTATAATATTTAGCTGCACACAAGATCAAACCCACATGTATAATATTTAGTTGCACAGAAGATCAAACCCACATGTATAATATTTAGCTGCATACAAGATCAAACCCACATGTATAATATTTAGTTGCACAGAAGATCAAACCCACATGTATAATATTTAGCTGCACACAAGATCAAACCCACATGTATAATATTTAGTTGCACAGAAGATCAAACCCACATAAATAATGTTTAGCTGCATCAAAGATCAACCCCACATAAATAATGCTTAGCTGCGCCAAAGATCAAACAAACACAAATAATGATTAGTTGTGCCGAAGATCAAACCCACATAAATAATGCTTAGTTGTGCCAAAGATCAAACCCACACAAATAATGCTTAGTTGTGCCAAAGATCAAACCCACACAAATAATGCTTAGTTGTGCCAAAGATCAAACCCACACAAATAATGCTTAGTTGTGCCGAAGATCAAACCCACATATATATAATGTTTAACTGCACTGAAGATCTAACCCACAATAATGTTTAGTTGTACGGAAGACTAAACCCACATATATAATGTTTAACTGCACCGAAGATCTAACCCACATAAATGTTTAGTTGTACGGAAATCTTAACCCACATTAATGTTTCGTTGTATGGAAGACTAAACCCACATTCATGTTTAGTTGTACGGAAAACTAAACCTACATATATAATGTTTAACTGCACCAAAGATATAACCCACATTAATGTTTAGTTGTACAGGAGACTAAACCTTGATGATTAATGTTTAACTGCACCAAAGATCAAACCCACATAAATAATGTTTAGATGCACTTACCCTTGTTCTGCCCTCCACCATGCCAGTTCTTCTCCCTCTTCCAAGCAGCTGTTCTGCCTCTTTCTCTAATTCGTTCTCCTCCTCTTCTTCTTCCTCCTCCTCGTCATCATCTTTCAGAAAAATACCAACGTGTTTTAACCTCTTCTTTGTGGTTGTGAGAACTGTAGCTGGTGCACCCTGGGAGTATAAAACAAGATCACTTGACAAATGACATTTGTTCCAGGGAGTGTGAGGCCATTATATGACCACAAAAAAACATACATAATATCTGACACAGAATATGTCATACATATGTATTTTGAGAGGTAGCTAGTTTTTCTGTTACACAAACTAATACGCTTATGGGCTATCTGACATGTAAAAGTCGTACATAGATGGCATATCTAACCAGTACAATTTGACAAATTGTCACACGTACAGTTTATGTGACACACAGATATAGATCACCACAGATAATCTGACATACAGCCACAAATAAATGGACACAGGCTAGCATAGTCTTAATTTGACAAACTGATTGACACATATATCAATGAATGACACTGACAGAAAGATTATTTCCTACGCAAATAAACATAGATGACTCAACAATGTTTGTCTTTACCGGTTGTTTTTTTTAGGCGGCAGGGGGTGTCCGTGAGCCTGAGGATTTAGAACTGAAGGGTTGGTGCAGTCACTACAGACTGTAGGTTAGAAGTCCCCCCCCCACCCCCCACCACACCGAGCTTAAAAAAAGCCATCCCTTTACAGGGGATTCTTCTGTGTTCATTTAAAGGTGTAAATTCATTGTGCCTGTTTGCGCATGGCTGCAATATTTGCACCTTTCAGTTTACACATCCAGCTTCTGCAGGCACATGGTTAGTTTTGTGGGACAATGTATTCTCACTGCTGTTTGGCCATCTGTGTTTCCTGGTCCACAAGTGATGCGTCCATCAGGCCAGCCAACAGCAAGCATGTAATACTGTGTTAGCCATTAAGAGAAGAGATTTCAAACCCAGGTCTCCTGAAGAAATGTCCAGTGTTCTAAACCGGTTGGCCAGCCGATCCTCTAGTCAAAATCCTCTAGTCAAAACTGACTCATCAAAACACACTTTATCATCGAAGAGTTAAGAATTGGGCACACATGAGCATCTAACAATCTACCCTTCTTCTTTCAAATACTATTGCATTCACACATCTTTTACTAGCTTATCCATCACAATCCGTTCTACTTAGCATTCACCGGATGTAAACTCAGGTGGAAAGTTCTGGTTGTTCGTCCACTTTCAGACTTTGGCCTTGTTCTAGAACTTGAGATTTGCATTACATATCTGGTTTATCTGTATGCAGACTACTGGTTCCTCACCTCAGAGAGATGCATTCTGACTTCAAAACAAATACCCGTTATTAGTCGTTTCCTTCTACACAGAGGCAGGGGCCATTGGGTCTACACCCCTCCCTAAAACTGGGTTCCGGAGCCCACAAGTAGTTCATATTACCAATATTAACTCTTTGAGTACCAAGGAACACATATGTTCAAAGGTTCCCACCTAGAAGCCCAATGAACGCAAAATGCGCTTTTTTTTTACAGCTCTCTTGACTACCCCTTAGGCTTCTGGTGCTAAATCCAGTGGGACTCAAAGAGTTAATAAATGAATTATAAATACACCAAAAATGTATACAAATCTTCTCTAAATGACCATTACAGATTATGAGGCAGGTTACACACACACTAGAAAGCACACATACTGCAGATGGCAGTATAGACTGAGTCTGAACATGTATAATTTAACACACAGAAACACACAATGTACCTCATTGACAAGGACAGTGTCTCCAAGAAACAAAGCCACAGTTTTGTCACCTCCCTTGATGTCTGCGAAGCCAATGCTGACATTGAATACCATGCCTGAAAGGCGGAAAAACATCAAAGAAACAACATTTAATGTAGGAAGTCCTTTCAAAATGTGGACGAAAAAAGGACAACAATGCTGCAAGATCAGGGGTGAAATGTAACAAGAATCAGGGGTAAAACCTAATAAGGTTCAGGGTTATATGTAACTAGAAACAGGGGTAAAATATAATAAGGTTTGGGGGTAAAATAACAAGAATCAGGGGTAGACAAAGATTTATGGATAAAATGTAACTTTAAATATGGGGTAAAATGTTACGAGAATCAGACAATATTTAACAAGATTCAGGAATGAAATTTAGCAAGAATTAATGATAAAATGCAACATGAATAGATGTTCAGCCTAGAGTTCATTTCCAAAATGTAAAAACATCTCCCGAGAAAAAAAAAACAGAGGTAATCTGCATAAAGATCGATGGAAGGTGAAAATCTACAAGGGTAACCTGCGTGAAGATCTATGAAAGGTGAAACATCTACAGATGTAATCCGTGTGAAGATCTATGGAAGGCGAAACATTTACAGGGGTAATCTGCGTGAAGATCTATGGAAGGTGAAATATCTACAGGGGTAATCTGCGTGAAAATCTATGGAAGGTGAAACATCTACAGGGGTAATCTGAAACATCTACAGAGGTTATCTGCGTGTAGCAAACATATGAATCCAGATAATGAATTTTTTAAATCCCAGTGCAAGCACAGGTTCACGACCACTCACCAATGAATTCACAAAGAAACACGGACAGAGTATCTATGACACTAACATGACTGTGCGACCTGGGAGTGAAGCTCGGTCAAGCATGCCAATGCCATCGAGGCAAGGACTGCAGACACTCTCATAGGAACAATCTATAAAAGTACCTGGGAGTGGCTGTTGCATCGGAAGATTCAGCTTGCATGGCAATGCTCAATGTGCAGTGTGTCGATTGTGATAACAAACATAAAATAAGTAAAACAAATAATGCAGTACCTTTCTTTGCCGGAGCTCTCGTCTTTGGAGCAATGAGGAGGGAAGCTTCTCTGAACTCAATCCCCATGGCAAATCCAAAACTTTTGATGAGATTGTTTTCAAGTTCTGGGTGCTCTTTCTTGACAGTGGCCAGGCCTGCATCAAATACTTCGCTCAGTTTGACACCTGTCAGAAACAAAGATGAACAGTATGGAGAGTCAGAAGCAACAATGAAATAACAATCTGCTTAAACCAGCACTGACTACTGGCACATAAGGACTAATAAACTGCAATGGTTAGGACATAAAGAAAGAAATGCAGATAGCTGAGAGACACTGCAAACACAAGTGTTAAATGGGAGTAGTCCATGAGGCAGACCAAGAAGACAATAGAGAGATAATATACAGGTAGACCCATAAGCCCTAGGGGTTACCAAACAGAAAGAGCAGGTTAGTCATAAAGATGAAAAGAGGCAGGTGAAATCTGCAGCAATGAACTTCAAGGGCTCAGAATGCAAAAAAAAAAAAAAAGAGAGATTATATCTATGAGGATATTCTTAGCAGTTCTTACTAATGTGTAATTATTAATCGACATGGCAGCACTCAAGGCACATTCCCATAAGCGCTCGGGTCTAATCTTCAGCTCTGATGACACCAGTAAGTGTGACTGTAAAGCCGTATAACCTTTTATCTGAGTAATGAGCGTCGGTCAGATCACTGCAACACCCTTCTCCTCATACCCTGGTGATCCATCTGTGCCTCCATACTGTTCACTCACGCCCTCCCCCCCCCCCAAAGGCCCCTAACACTATCCAACTTGGCATGCATCGTTTCACCAGTAAGTTGTGTTGAACCCGCCATTCTATCTGCCTGTTTATTTCCCAACAGAAACACACATCCAAAGAAAGTTGACAACTTGGGACCTCTGAAGCTATTCTCGCCACTCTGCACCTATCTACACCTTCCTTAAGATGTTCTATGAGACAGTTACAATTACGACCAAGTGTGTGTTCCATTACTACAATCACACTAGGAGTCCCTGAAACAGCCAAAAGACCTGTACTTTTATATCTCAACACTAGAAACAAATGTTCACAGAAGACAAAGAGAACATCTAACACACACACACACACCTACATACCATGCTGCAGCTTGGCAATAACCTCTTCCTCGACCTGGACCAGAAATTCATACAACTTCTGAACGGACTCGGCCGGGTTGACCATCAGTGTACGGACAATGTTGGAGCAGTAGGACTTGTAGCGAACCCCCATAGCACACACGATTGTGTCAAACTGGAGGTTGTTCTCGTCACTGCAATGAATACAGAAATCAACATTCGAATGCCACATGAAACAGACACGTGACTGTATAAATTGGGGGGGGGTGTGTTAAACAAAACAGCATCTAAGACATCACCAGCAGCCAGCTGCAATACTAATGGCTAAATTTCTGTTCATCTTGCATTTCCTTTAAGCAGTAGGTGTCTACCAGATCCGTCTGCATATTTTTAATCTCTACCACAGTGAACTGTTGACGGTTCTTCTGCATTGTTAATGTGATCCCAAAGGATCTTCACACATCTGACATATCATGCATCAATTCACCACTTCACTTAGTGGCGTGGAACCAGTGATTCTGTCTTCTTGATAATTTCCCAATACACCAGCATGCCATGGAGAAAAGATCCAAAGGATGCTCACGATTGTCAACTTACAAAGTAAAGCACGTCTGTCTCTACCTTTCTCTGCAAGCTCCGAGGGTCCATTACTACAAGAAGTTGCTTTATGTCATCTTCTTCTTCTCCTCAGCCTTGTACCTATGCAAAGTGCCGGGGGGAGATGTAATATTTGTTGATCAGCTCTGTCAAGTGCACTATTGAGACTGATGTTTATTTCTGTAAGGCTGTTCTTAATGCCATCACTCCATCTTTTCCGACGTCTTCCGCTTGCTCTATACGTGTTGTAACGTTTCAGTATGGCTCGCTGTGGCAGACAGTACCAGGGCATTCTTGTTAGGTGTCCAAACCACTTCATTTGTTGTTCTTTGATGATTTGTGAGACTGGCTTTATTCCTAGCATTCGCCTGATTTCGTATTCTGTGTTTCCTTGTAACTGCTGCAGCTCTTCTCAGGCATCTCGTCTCTGTTGTCACAATTTTACGTTCATTGGAGGATGTGAGTGTCCACGTTTGGCACTGATAGCATAGTGTCATCACTGCAATTATTTTTAAGTCTACATATGAACGGTATATCTTCTTCTTCTTCGCGTTCACCAGCTGTCAACTCTGGATGGAAAAGTTCTGGTTAGAGAACCAACAGTCTGTAAAATAAACCAGACCTGTAAGACAAATGTGAGGCAAAACTCAAGTTCTGGCACAAAACCAAAGTCCAGAAGTGGACAAACAGCCAAACATTTACAGCCGGTAAACACTAAAAATGAGAGTAAGACTGTGCTAGTTATGATACACCTCCCCCAAAAGAGGAATGAAGGAGAAAATACACTGCCACAGAAAGAGATAATAACAGTGTGAAAAGACAAACCTGGTGGTGCTGAACTTGAGGCTGTACTTGCCACCACTCTGGATAATTGCTGGATAACAAACATCCAGCTGGCTGGAGTCCACTCCAGTGACATATTTCTTGTTCTGTAGAGCTTGCTCCACTCCGTCTGACAGTTTTGAGTGTTTCACTTTCTGAAATGATGTAAACAATAACAATATTCATCTCTGACTGTTAATATTAAGAGTCAAACCGAAAGGTTCTGTGTGAGCACAGAACAATCTAAAGACAAAGAGAAACCCATATACAAATTATTAACTAGCAGCATCTTTATCAATTATTTATTAGCAGCTATATATCAATTATAAATAGGCAGCAACAGGGTCTCTGTGGTGAAGTGGTCAAGCCTTGTGCTCTGAAAGTCATGGGTTTGTTTTACGGCTGCGCCATTCAGTATAAAGTGCAATTTTTACAGAGTCCCGCGGGGCTCACTGCCGGAGCTACAGAGTTTGCGCTATTGTGCGATGCTCTCTGCAGTCGGCTAGCCTTATGCGGAGGGAGACCGAGACATATTGGATAAAACCTGGTGTACTAAAGTTGATCTGCTCGACTTTTAACTGTAAATCATTTATCCATAAACAGCATGCTTTCTCGAGACTGAAATACTTCAGCCATAATCTTTTTAGAAAGAACAGTTTGGTTTGGTTTTGGTTTAAACAAGAGATCAACATCATGGCACAAGGGTAGTAACCCATAAGTGTCAGAAAGAACAGTAGTATGCCCCATGACAGAAGAGGCAGGGGTCGGCCAGCACAAAGGACAATCTGAAATTTCAACAAAAGACAGGAAAGCTGACAAGGACTGGGAGAACCTCTGGCATGCCATAATGAGAGCGACGTTCTACGAAAGAATTCAATGCAGGACGATAATTAAAAACTTATACATACTTTATAAAATGGTAGCCCTGTTGGGGTTTCCTGGCCACATTCTGGGAAAAAAAAGTATGTAATAAAAGGCGACTAATTAGAAAATCCCCTTCCCTGTTTACAGCCAGTGAACATGAAGAAGCTAAAAGTAGCCAATCTGATGTTTTCTGTACATTTTTTTCAACCGTGTTGAATTTTAGCTTCAAAGAAAGATCCCGTACAACCCCCAAACAAAGCAAAAATGTCATGCAACCTCACCATACTCTACATTCATTATTTCAGTTACTTTTTCTTCGGCATGGACGACAGTGCTAAACAATGAGTAACAAAATTGTGGAAACAATTATTATAGCAGAGATATGGTTTTTGTCTGGTTAATTGATGCTGTGAGAGCTTGTCATGGTGTAGCAGCTAGATGATCACATGCAGTTCTCAAGGTCAAGGGTTCAAATCCAAACTGAGCCAGGCTTTTCTGAAGAAATGACCTTTTTTCCCAGATCAACCCAGCCTTAAATGAGCATCAGGTAAAGTCCTAGGAAGTAAAAGTGACCAGTATTATACTGACTACATCACCCACTGGGTGCCCTAAAAAATTACTGGTTTAGTACTGTATGCCCAATACGCCTGAAAGCGTGGAAAAGGGTCCTTTTAGCTGATATTCAAGTTTAAATGCAACGTAATCTTTTCTTTTCTTCATAAGGTTTAGTTCACAAAGAAAAAGAATCATGCAGAAATACAGGGTGAAATGCCCACAAAAGCAATCAATACCTTGTCAGCATCAATGATCTCCATGATCTGCTCCTTGAGGTACTTATTGAACACATCACAGGTGACCTGGCTGGCCTTCTGTATGGTCTTGACTTCCAGTTCTTCCTTCGGGGCCATGATGTAAGCAAACTGAGAGGAGACATCCACCTGGGAGGCATAAATCATAAATCTATAGCATAAGATGGAGACATCTGACAGGCTTGGGAGAAGATTCAAGCGAAGAGATAAAACATCTTAGATGGTTTGGCTAACAAGAATGATCTGGACAAGAAAACTGACTTGATCTACAAGACACGATCGTGTGAGTTGGTATGCATGGTATTTCATGGAATACAATGAGTATGCCGAACACCCGGGTTTATGTTTCCTTAATACCATGATTCTGTCCTGAGGTGGTAGAGAGGCGTCATCCTAATTCCCTAGTAGTAGCTTAGCTAAAGATAAGGTCTAACAGACTAATAGTCTTTCTGCGAATTTATCAACCTCCTCATCCTTCTTTGTGATAACCGGCTGTAATGTGAAAAAAAGTTCTGGTTGTTTGTCCACTTCTGGACTCTAGTCCTATTTCAGAACCTGATTATTGTGTGCATAACAGTTTTACAGATCTGACTCATGTGCATGTAGACTGTTGGTTCCTTGCCTCCTAGGCAGATGTGACTTTGAAGGAAGCCCTCAATTATTTGATTCTTACAAACTGCTCGTTGGAGAGGCAGTGGGTCAATTCTTCTTCCCCGCTGTAGGGCCATGGAACCCACAGGGAAGATTTATAAACCAACATGTGCAGCTGTTATTCTAAACAGCTTTTTTACATAGAAAGAGTCAGGGTTCATAGCCAAATTTACCAATCAATTTCAAGGCTTTTCAAGGTCTTTTTCAAGGTCTCCATAGTTTTTTTCAAGGTTGTCTCGGTGTAATACTGAAACAAGATTTTTGCCTTGTTCAAGGGTGTACTGAGCACACAAGGTACTTCATTTGTGCCACATGTGTTGGTATACCAGCACAGATATCATCATCATGTAGCATTTCCTTTGTCCTGAAAAAGAAAAACTCGGTCTCTCACCAGCTCTCCCGCCTCATGTACTTTTTTATACTCAAGGAGTCACTTATATCCTGTGCCCATCTTCGTGTTGGTCGGCCCCTGAGCTTGATATAGTGTTTGAAATTTTTTTTAGGGCTTGGTGGTAGAGGGCAGCAAACTGAAGTCCTGTCTGTTCTGGACCTGGTACCTGAGAGGGTTAGGGGAGAGAGAGAGAGTCATGAAGAGAGAGGAAGACACATGCTGAGGTAGGCTGGGAGAGACAGTGTAAAGATGGACAGATGAAGGTAGAGAAAAGAAGGAAAAGAAGTCTGGGGAAGGAGGACAAAATGAGAGGGAGGGATGGAGACATGATGAGGAAAAGTGGGGAAGGGACAGCGAAAGACAGAGAGGGAGACAAATACAGAAAGAGGGAATGCAGATACAGAGATGGGCAGATGAAAAGAGAAGGAAAAAGGGAACGAACCAGAGATATGGAAGGAGGAAAATATGACAAAGAGTTGAAGGGAGACAGAGGGAGAGAGAACGGACAGGGTGAGAAGCAGATGCAAGCAGAGAGAGATGTAGACATAAAGGAGAGAGAGACAAAGGGACAGCACAGAGAGGCAAGCAGACAGAGGGAGAGAACCAAAGAAAGAGAAAAAAGGCAGAGCAGGAGAATGGGAGGGAGGTATACAAAGAGAAAGTGATGAAGGGAGGCAAACAGACATAAAGCAAGAGAGAGAGAGAGAGGTGGGTAAGGAAGGCAGTGACAAACACAGATTAAGAGAGAGGGGCAGGAAGGGAGACAAGATACATCAAAGAAAAAAAAACAGCCACCTACTCCCCCCCCCCCCCCCCACACACACACACAATTTCAAGTGTAGTGGACACAACCACCAGGAAAAGATAGTTATGGGGCAAAAAAAAAATACGTAAATGAACCAGTAAAAAAAAAAAGGGGGGGGGGGGGCAGAGAGAGAGAGAGAGAATGAGAGAGGGGATCGGTAAGGAAATCTAGAGAAAATGAAAAGACAGGATGAAGAGGAGACAAAGAAGAGATGGGACAGGAGAAAGGGCAAGGAAAGGAAGAGAGGAAGAATGGAGAGAGAAAGGAGAATAGTAGAAGATCAAAGGAAAGAGAAGGGGTGAGAGAAGAAAGGTAAGACACAGTTGTGGGGGTGGGGGGGTGTAAGAACAATGAGTGCCAAAAATAGAATTAGGAAATCTCTAAGTGAGGCCACTTTTCCGGTTCCTACCCCTCTCCCAATGTGAATGTGGCTGTGGTCCAAAAACAACAGTGCTAACCCCTACTGCCCCTTGCTTGTCCTATCTGTGTGTGACAACAATAATTCAATTTCTTACACTTAAGGCTGGTGACCTGAGAGCCAAGGTCATTTTATGAAGAAGAAAAAAAGTCCAGGGGATCCCAACCCACCACTGGTGGAAAATAGAGAAGTTTACCCACACACATAAATAGGTCAGACATATAAATAGGTCAGGGCAGCAGTGGACTTCGTTTTATTTCTGGTTTTCCAATTACAGAAAGGAGGGGAGAGAGGAGGTGGTGGAAAGTGGTGTAGAAGGCTGAGGTGGTGAGGGTGAGACAGAGGAGGTGAGAGAATAAAGTTTAAGAAAATAAAGTGGGAATGAGACAGGGAGAGAAAGAAGGAAGTGAGAAATAAGATGAGATATAGAGGGAAGAAGGTAGCAAGAAGGGGTGCACTCCCTCCCCTAGGTGTCATCAATGTAGGAGGAGAAAAAGGGGGGGGGGGGGGTGACGGCAAATGTGTTTTTAAAAGTACACATATATTTAATGTGTGGGAGGGGGGAATGGTGGACATGAAATGTTCTGCACTAGGCAACACATAACCTTCTACACCAACTGAAGGTATGGAGAAAGAAAGAGAGAAAGAGAGAGAGGGATTGAGGGAGAGTGGCAAATACAAAGAGAAAGAGGAAAGCAGTGACACAGACAGGCAGAGAGTGAGGAACAGATAGGACAAAATGTGAGGGGGCGGGAAGGGAGATGGACAGAGATTAAGGCCGCTAGGAAAACAAACACATCAAAAGAAAATATCCACCATGTTCACACAGAATGCCCCCCCCCCCCCATACAACTTCCTGTGTACTTGAGTTGCTAGGAAGAGCCGCACATTTACTAAACATTTAAACAAGAAATAAAATAGGAAAAAGGGGGAGGGGGGACAGGAAATGAGAGAGTAAAAGGAAAGATAGAGAGAAAGAGAAGAAGATGAAGATCAGAAGGGAGGGTTAGAGACAATGCAGGAGACGGGAAGGAAGGAGCAATAGGTAGAAGAGTGAAAGAGGGAGGGAAGAGAGAGAGAGGGGTGAGACAACAGAAGAGGGAATCTCGGGGAATTACAATACTGATCGCCAAACACACTGTAAAGATAAATCCAGGCCAAAAATAGAACTGGGAAATCCAGCTGCAGTCACTTTGCTTAGCCCCAATGCCATCTCTAATTAATAGAGAAAGCCGTGCTTAGCCCCCACCACGGCGACTCTATTTATAAATACAACTGAACCGAGCCCCACCATCTCCCAATGTAATCCTTTCTAGAAACCACAGCCATAAACGATTTAAACTGTTCATTCTGCCCGACTTGCTAGAAACAAAGGCACACACACACACACGACGGAAGCTGCTCCTTCCCGCCCCATGCCACACCGCTGCTGTCTGCATGTATTCTGTCTGCAACAAAGCCCGCCCTCCCCTGGTCTTTAACAAGCCATTTCGGCTGAAAATAGCCAATAATCAGCTGCCCTCACACCTGAAACGACCATTCAACGAAAGTAACCAAAAACTAGCCAAATGACCAAAAAAGCCAAATGGCTCCCCCAAAATTGCCTGTACTGAAAAACACAGGATTTCTGATGATTTCATTGCCGCGGTCAAAATTCACGGCTTTTCAAGGTCGGATTGTCTTTTATAAGCTAAAAATCACGGTTCAAGGTCAACGAAAAAAATCCTGGTAATTTCTCGATTTCCCGGTCCACTACGAACCCTGAAGAGTTGTTTTTTCTAAAAACTGTATGGATGTATGTGGTAACCAGTAAACGTATGGTGAGATGCCTGGTGTAATAAGACAACCATAACAGTCTTCTTCCTAACAACCCTCTGCTGTAAACTACGGCAGAGGTGTTCACCTGCTGTAAACTCCAGCGGAAATTTCTGGTTGTTCTCCCACTTCTGGACTATGGTCTTGGTCTAGAACTTGAGAGTTGTAAGTGCAAACCTGTTTTACAGAGCTGGCATATCTGTATGCAGACTACTGGTTCCTCAAATCTCAGACAGATGCACTTTTACTTTGAAGGAAAACCACAACAGTGAACTGTGCTCCACGCCAGACAAACTCGACATTCACCAAACCTACCCGCTCAAAGCCAGCCTCCTTGACTGCCTTATTCCAGCCTTCTATGAGCTCGCCTGGGTATTTGTCCTTGCTGAACTCTCCAACTGTTTTGCCCTGGACAAAGAAGTGGTTTCATGTCAAGTATATTCAAAGAACATGGAATGACAACATCAAGAAATGGACAGGATTAAGTTATCACACACTTTTTCATCAAGCTGAAAACAGAAAGATGGCAGGTTTTTTTTTTGTGTGTTAGTACTTCCACCGATAAATCTCCATAACCCTAACGGGTAAAGGGTTTTTATCTCTTTTTCATGCAATCAGGGAGGTAGCTGTGTTTAGTTCACAGAAGGGACTTGTCAATGGGATAGACAAGTACAGAGTAGAAGAGGGAGCATCCCTTTAGCTGGAAAAACAAGTCTACATCCAATTTAGACCGTACTACCCTCCTCTCATTTATCATCCCCTTTCTGCTTCATCCATGTTCTACATATTATTCATTTGTCCTTATTCTCTACTGATTCCGTTGCTTATTCCCAAAGGGCCTTGACCACACCTATCTTGTCATGCATCAATACAGAAACAAGATAATTATGGCCTGGAGAGAATGAGGTACCTGGGTGTAACCAGAGGGCCTGGCCGGCTTACTACACTCAGACAAAAGGCAAGGTGGACATATAACTAGCTTATGACCGGTACCATCAGCAATGGAACTCTGCACTGGCTACTGAAGATGAGGGCAGAGCACACATGGGAATGCCCCGAGTGCTGTGATGTCAATTCTTGACTTATCTCAACTCAACTCTTTAATTCTCTGTGTTTTTGCATCTTTTTTGACCAGTGGCCTCTAGTTTTGCTATTATCACATTTTCTCTTTGTGTAGCCTATGTTAGAGTTCTGTTGGTTTACTTCCAATAATTCACTACAACGCTTTAATAATAATAATAACAACTTATGTATCAATCAATCAGTCAAGTGCCATCTCTACAAGGATGGTTAGCTACACTAGATCTCTAACATTATTTGTCTTTTGTCTTGGTTGGGTTGTACTCTCTCTTAGACTGCTGTTCGTCCACAAATTGTCCTCCCACGTTTATCGTTGTCTACCTCTTGGTTTTTGGTGTTTTCCTCCAGTATGGTTTTTTAAGACTGTTATATGTTTGTGTCTGAAATATTTCAACTGATTCATAATTTATTTATTTCTGTAATTCTCTTTTCATTCTTCAGAACCTCTGTATTTGACTCAGAACCTCTGTATTTGATTCAGAACCTCTGTATTTGACTCAGAACCTCTGTATTTGACTCTGAACCTCTGTTTTGATTGTTTTGGTTTCCCTGAAATGCAACCTGTTCTTTAGAGAAGAATTTGATTTTCTAGTTGCCTCTTCACTGACCAGGTTTCTGCAACAATACAGCAGGGTTACGTTTACATAACATTTGACGATTTTAATTGATTATGTGTGGTTTAAATCTCTAGCTGTCAATATTCTTGCATCTTACTGAAGACAATTGAGCCATTCCTATTCTCTTTTTGATTTCTGTTTGCCTTATACCATCATCTGTTACTACATGTCTTGTCTGAGATAGGAGAAACTTGTTACTTTGCTCTCCATTTTTATTGTTTTTGACTGTTGGTCGCCCCTTTTTATTACTAATCTTGGTTGTTTTTTTTTTTAAATGTTAATGTCTAAAATGTACAGATCCTATCCTGATTTACGCAAGCGAATCATGGACAGTTTTACATTTAAAAGTAAAGATCCCTTTTCAAAGCCTTTAGGCGTATATGGCATACATATCGGGCTAGACATATATACATATATTTTGTTTAAAAGACCAATCAGCACAAGATAGGTGATGTAGTTGTTCATTTAGTAAACATTATATGGTTGCTACAGAGATGTGGTTTTTTTTTTTAATTTGCATTACTGGGCGACATATTAATTGAAAAGTGCAGAAGAAGAAGGAGAAAAATAAGACTGACCCCCTCCCTACCTTTTTGCTTTTCTTGATGTACTCAATCAGTTTCTGGAAGTTGGCTTTATCCTTGTCTTTGTCACCCTGGAAAAATATTGGCAAGCAAAGGCACATTTAGATTTTCTTTCCCTAAAACATTTTCTGAGTTTTATCTTCTAAGCTTCTAAATAAAGGCAGATTTTTTTTTAACTGGTCCCAGCGAAACATTCTGTTTCATGCTATACTTGTAGTTCTTTCAGCACCTTTCCTTCTTTCATCTACCACTAGAGCACAGACTCTCAACTAATTCATGCCAAGTCATTTGTAGACTTGCTCCTGATTGGTTTTCTTCTTCTTTTTCCATTCGTGTTCACACCACTAGAGCACAGACCCTCAACTAATTCATGCCAAGTCATTTGTAGACTTGCTCCTGATTGTTTTTTTTTCTTCTTTTTCCATTCGTGTTCACACCACTAGAGCACAGATCCTCAACTAATTCATGCCAAATCATTTGTAGACTTGCTCCTGATTGGTTTTCTTCTTCTTTTTCCATTCGTGTTCACACCACTAGAGCACAGAACCTCAACTAATTCATGCCAAATCATTTGTAGACTTGCTCCTGATTGGTTTTCTTCTTCTTTTTCCAGTCGTGTTCACACCACTAGAGCACAGACCCTCAACTAATTCATGCCAAGTCATTTGTAGACTTGCTCCTGGTCGGTTTTTCTCCTTCTTTTTCCATTCGTGTTCACAAATGTGCACCTGTTTTACAGATCTGGCTTATTTGAATGCAGACTAGGTTCCTCATCTCCCAAGCAGACGCACTTTGACTTAGGTCTTTGAAGGAAACACTCATTAGTCCTTGGATTATGACACGCTTGATGGGGTAGTGGAAGGGGCAGTTAGTCTATCTTATTTCCCCAAATCAAAGTTCAGATGGGAATGAACAACCAGGCCTTTATGTCAGAGCTAGTGAACAAGAGAAATTGGCAAGAGGACAAAAATGGCTGTTTACCGCTCTACCTGTACCAGATGTGAATCATGGGCAATGACAACAGCTCACAGAAGCCAGCGTCAGGCCTCAGAAATGATAAATCTGGTCCAAATGATAAGAAGGGACAAAGTCCACAATCAGACAATACGTCAAGATCTTGATACCCAGTTCCTTACAAACCCGAGTGAATCAGTCACAGTTACGATGGTTTGGACATGTATGCAGAATGGGAGAAAATCGGCCACAATGGCAGGCATGGGAGGCTAAGAACCAGGGAACCAGACCTCTAGGGCGACCTAGGGTCCGCTGGGAAGACAACATCCAACAGTCCCTAACTGACAGAGGACTGGAATGGAACAAAGCCAGGAAGAAAACTGCTGACAGAGACGGCTGGCGATCTCTCTGGCAAACCTCTACACTCCAAGGTAGAAGAGGAGCGACTAAGTAAGTAAGAACATGGAGTAAAAGATGGCATCATGAGCTACAAACAGAGGAGATAAAAAACACAAAATGGTGCTAATTCTAAAGTTTCAAGAAAGGTGGAGTTAGTGACCCCACAGCAATTCATGGTCATCGTCCAACATTCTGTGAAGTCAAGACACAGAGAGAAGAGTAACAGCTATTCATCAAACATCAGACCCTCAACATACTACAAAGGAAGGTTTAAAAAGAATAGGAAATAAACCAAAGAAGGATGTTTCAAAATGAAGATGCGCCTTGTACACACTAACCTTTTCTCTTGTGATCAACTTCAGGGCAGGGATCCCCTGGTCATTTTCTTTAGAGCTGTCCAGCTGCTTCAGGAACTCAATCTTCTTCTTGCTGGCCATCAGACAAATCACTTGTTCACACAGGATCATCACTGTGTCTGTCAGCTCGTATCCAAAAAGCCAGGTCTGCAAAAACAGATGTCGAATGATATATTTTTTTTTAAAGATGCCAATAAACTTTGACGGCCATGTTTCGCCACTTAAATAAATCTGCAGAAACACAGATCAGGTTGATTCTCATTCTATTATTGTGTCGCATTAATATGGTTGAGCCATCCGTGCATTTATCTTTTTGCCTTGTTCTTTTTCTCAAAGACTACACCAACTCAAATGCTGATAACCTTTAATTACATGATGCAAGACCATTCAACACCCTTCCCCCCCCCCCCCATAAATGTGGTCTAATTAACCATGACCTAGTTATTCCTCCCCGTGTTGGCTTCAACTTGAATAGACCTAACAAATTTGTCAAAAAGGACAACTAAATAAGGGTTGCTGAAATTGGATGCGCTGAGCTGAAAGGTGCAGATATCACAGTCTAGCTGTCAACATCAACACATGTGTCAAGAACTCCTTGTAAGGCAGAAAAAGAAGACCTAGCCGCATCACAATATGCCTCAATACAGATGTGAAGTCCCAGCACCACCAAAGGTCTCTGAGTGCAGCAGCAGTTCCAGGTGGACATACTTTCATACTGGTAAAAAATGAAGTTCTCTATACCAACCTCCACCTAAAAGCTGGATGTATGTCCTCATCGTAAACCCAATCCCAGCATTTACTGGCTATATGTTTTACCAGACAGTCTGTAATTACTTTCCAGATTTGCTCATTCCGTAGTCGAAATCAGTGCAAAATCACCCAAAACTAACGTCATTACACAGCTGTCATTTTTTTATGTAGTTTCTGCACTGTCCATGTGGTTATTTACATCGAGCATTTGGTTTCGACAGTGGTATCTAGAACCTACCATTCAGAAGCAACGGTATACTACTGAACGTAAAATCACGAACGGTCAAAAAAAATGCTGCAGATGGTTCTGTAACGTCCTGTTAACGACACACAACTAACCATGTTGTTGCATGCTGTAACCAGTGCTACAACAACCCTCCTTATTTAGATGCTTCTTATGACATGCATGGTAGGTTACAGTACTTCAATTCTTTGCTTCCCTTGTGAGCAGCAATGACACACAATGTCACTTGTATATTTACCCTGAAAAGTGTGACATTCCAGTCAGCAGGGGGTAAAAGTTACTGTGTATCCACGCTTATCTTACCTGCAAAGCAGTCGACTTTGAATAGATGACTTCTTCATCCACGCCAACAGCTGTAATGAGGGCATCCATTTTACCCAGCCCTTCATCCCCACTCGATTTCTGTGAACAGTCCTTCATTTTAGCAACATGTACAAACAAAGCATAAGTTAGTAATTAACACAAAACAATAAAAATTGTGAGATTAACATAAACATAATGCAATAAGCGACATGTAAAACTCTAGTCCCATAAGACTCTTGTATGAACTGGGCTGTATGTCCCTCTGATGCCTGACACATACATTTAACTTCCATACACAAGATCACCGTTTCCCAAACTTGTCTTAGTCGGAGCGCCTTTTTTCAATAAAAATTTGTTTCACGGCGTCCTAACCTAAGTAAAGGTATGACTATTTGTATGTAAGAGATTAAAAATAAAATAAACTTGTGTATATTCAAATATTTTGCCCCCCCCCCCCCAGAGGTCGTCGCGGCACAGTTTGAGAATCACTGCACTAGATCAATGATTGCATCAGGTAATGAGTTAAATTCACCACTCTTATTTATCATCTATATAAACATGATAGTTGAACAAGCAAACCCCAAGCTGGGGGTTTTAAGTGAGCTGATATCTGCCGAAGATCAGGCCCTATTCTATAAAAATACGGAGAACCCCAAACACCACATTAACAACCTCAACACCTGCTGCAAGAAATATGATATGAAAATAAATACGGAAAAAATCTACTGTAAATAAAACACCAGTTTAACATGGCATCACTGTTAGAGGGGAGACAAAACACACTACGGATTTTGAGTACAGATGCAGTGCAGACACTGAGGATGGAGGATTGGACAGAGAAATAAAAAGAAAAAATACAGAAGGCCAAAGCCATAAATTATCAATTATTCCCACTTATGAGGCATCAAAATATCAACATGCATACAAAAAAAAAGCATCTGATAAATGTACTGTTTCTACCAACTTTGTGCTATAAATGTCAGACATGAAAAGTACCAGAAAAACATAAAACAAAAAATTTCTACATGGGATGAGATGTATCAAAAAAAAAAATATAAAGAGGCAGAGTCACAACGAATGGCTAAGAACGATGGTAGACACAGTCCTGGTAAATGTTGAAATAATCTTTTTTTCTTCTTCGCGTTCACCAGTTGTACATTCTGGCAGAAAGTTATGGTTGCTCGCCCACTACTGAACTGCAGTCCTGCTCCAGAACCTGAGTGTTGCGTGTGCATCAGTTTTACACATCCCATTCTCTTGAATACAGACTGTTGGTTCCTTGCCTCTCCGGCAGATGCACTCCGACTTCCAAGGAAGCTCCCCAATTAGTCAACTCGTACGACATGCTTTTGGGGAGGCAGTGGGTCTATTCTTGTTCTCCCCACAATGGGACCTGGAACCCACACGGGGGGGAATGTAGAAATGATTTCAGAGAAAATCAGATTCAAATAATGTGGTCATATGAACAGAATGGAACAAAATCAGCCAGCATCTACAGGGAACTAAATAAGAACAGCAAGCTACAAGACAAAAGGCTGACCAAGAAAGAAATTGGAGTAAAAGAGACACTACAGAAACGCCATATGACATTAACACAATTAGCAAAAGACAGGAAATTGCATTTAACTCCTCTTTTTTTTTTTATGCTTCATGGCAGTAGGACAACAGATGAGTGAGTGAGTTAAATAAATTAAATAAGTCTCCCAAGACCCCATCTCACAATGGAAGTCTGTCTTATGTCAACTTGATCGACTCGCTTACACAATATGCACTGCTGATGCTGGCTGATCAATAACTAGAAAGGCATTACTTGTTTTAAATTATTGATCTAATTTATGAACATGCCAGGACTTTCCCTCTGCCAGTACGCCATTATGCACTAATGGCATTATTTTTTTCATGCCAGGTATTTGTAGACTTGCTCCTGACTGGTTTTTCTTCTTCTTTTCCTTTGTGTTTACATGTGAACACCTGTTTTATAGATCTGTGACACTGTGAGGAGTACCGGCACCTTTTTTTTTTTAGACATTGAGGAGTACTGGCACCTTTTTTTAAACACTGTAAGTAACGGCACCTGTTTTATAGATCTGTAACAGACACTGTGAGGAGTACCGGCACCTTTTTTTTTAGACACTGTGAGGAGCACCGGCACCTTTTTTTAACACTGTGAGGAGTACCGGCACCTTTTTTTTTTTAGACATTGAGGAGTACTGGCACCTTTTTTTAAACACTGTAAGTAACGGCACCTATTTTTAAACACTGTGAGGAGTACCGGCACCTTTTTTTTAAAGACGCTGTGGTGAGTATTGTCCCCTTTTCTCTAGAATAAAACCCTGTACTGATTAAGCTATATATAGTCAGATAGCAAACACAGGAATGGACAGGCGTACATGCAACCAGACCGAGGGATTCTTATGGCAAAGTAAAGAAATTAAACACGAGGAACAGAATTCTGCCCAATTCTGGCCTAAGCTAGGCTAGTCTGCCCTATTGGTAAGTACCCAGCCATTCTGGAAGACAGACACCAAGCCATATTGGTACTTGGTACTACAATGATGTTGATATATGATCATGAGGCCTGCCATTTCACAACATGTTTACTGTAGTTTACATTTATTTATCATTTTCCCACTAACACTTGTATATTGATAATAATTAATGAATGATACATTTGCCAATCAAACATGACAACCATAGCATTTTTGGTTTGTTTTAATAGCTGACAACGTATTTTTCATGATTTTGCACTTTTTATATTATAATACACGACGACCAGATATTCAAGTTTAGTATTTTTGGTAGTAAATAAATGATAAAACAGTGTAAACAAGATAGTTCGATCAAGATAAAATATTCGCCTATAATCCCGCGGCTAATCCAAAGCTGTTTGGCAGTACAATACAAATTAAAACTATTCAAAAACGCAACTGCCTATTCATACTCTGATTAATCAAGTTCGTGCATTTTAAAATCTAAATTAAATACAACTACCTGACCTACAGAAAAGCAAGTTCACTGAACGGACGCCAAAATTTGTGACTGTGACCAGAGACTCGGTTATCGAAAACTGGACGACGATGGGAAAGAAGGAAAGATTTGACAGAAAGAAACAAATACGTTAGCAAATTACGTGCTAAGTAAATATATTAGCAGTACTTACGGCCCACGCAGAATAAAGTTTCTTCATGCGCCTATAAAAAGCGTCTTTATCTACTTTGATGCTCATGGTGTGGGTTTGTAGTTGTGTGGTTGTAACATTAACCCGTTACCAGCCTCGCATCGGCCATTAATGGCGGGACCGTGACGTCACGACGTCTGCTCCGTTTCCAGATTTTTAAACATGGGAGATTTCTCAGAGACTTGTTTTTCTTTGGGAGTCGCCGTGGCGTAGCGGCTGGACGCTCGCCTGCGGGTCGGAAGGTCGTGGGTTCGCTCCCTGGCGAAGCCGGACTTTTTTCATAAATGACCTTAGCTCCCAGGTCAACCCAGCCTTCAGTTGGTACCGGGTGCGGTCCTGGGAAGTAAAAACGGCCGTCGTGATGCTGACCACATTACCCATTTTGTGCCGTTGGTCTATAAAATATAGATCTAGCCCTATGTACCTAAAGGCGTGGAAAAGGGTTATTTACTTTTTACTTTTTTATTATTCCTTAAACACACGTCTACTCAATAATATATTCCGCCCCAACACAGGACACATTTTTTGTTCTTGTTATTTCAAAGCCCCACCCCGGCTGTTGTCAGGGGCTCTAATATATCCTAACGGTTGAACGGATTTTCTGGGTCTTCGGTTCGGGTGATTCTCATCCGAATAGTGGCACTTTTAGTCACCGGGTGTATCGCTCCTAGTGCAGTCCTGGTGGGGTTTAACGTCACTCAATCACATATCTCCAGGTTATACCAAATAAATGTGGCCATTTTGTACAGGGTATCTGGAATTTGCCCTGTAAGTTTGCCACGCAAGATGAGCCCCTTAAAGTATCAGGGATTTTCCGGGTTTCGGGACAACATTGTGGGGAAAACAAGAGCAGACCCACTGCCCCCTCAACAAACATGTCGTAAGAGTCGACCAAGTGGGTGCTTCCTTCGAAGTAGGAGTGCATCTGCCTGAGAGGCAAGGAAACAACGATCTGCATACAATTAAGTCAGATCTATTTAACCGATGTGCAAGCATCACTCGGGTTCTAGAACAAGACTACGGTGCAAAGGTGGAAAAACAACCAAAACTTTTTGTCAGAGTTCACATACGGTGAACGCGAAGAAGGAGAGAAGTATTAAGGATGATCAAAGCTTTAGGTAGCAACCCAGAGTGATACAATCAAATCTTCATTATTGTTAGATGCCCTATTACAACTTTACTGTACAATGAGTGGGGGGGGGGGGGGGAATCTGTACACGTAGGTTCTTATCATTTAGGTGTTTATCATGTGGACTGCAATCATTGAGTTGTAGTTGTTGTAGCAGAACTACTTGTAGTAGTAATTTATCAAAAAATAACCCGTTCAACCCTAGGGGTTATAATTGGGATAAATGGTGTTAGTTGAGTTCCCAGAGTATAAATTTGTTATTTTGAATTTAGATATCTTGTTTTTTAATTAGATGACTGAAATTTAACTTGTATTAATCACATTTTAAAATGCAATCGTGGAGGGAACGAACTACAACAACAACCCGAAGGCGACTGGAAAAGCAGAATTACCTATGGACATAACTGTGTGTCCATGTGTCCAGGAACCGCCGTGGTGTAGTGGCTAGAGGCTCATCTGCGGATCGGAAGGTGGTGGGTTCGAGTCCTGGCAAAACCGGAGTTTTCTAGAAAATGATCTTGGCTCCCAAGTCTACCCTGCCTTGAGTGGGTACCAGGTATAGTTCTTTTAAGTTAAGGCGGTGAGTGTGATGCTGAACACATCACCAATCAAATAACGATTGGACTATAAAATATAGGTCTAGCTCTATGTGCCCAAAAGGCTACGTCTGAAAGCGAAAAATGGAATAAAGGAGAAACGACACGCCCATTCATTGTCATTACCAGAAATCAGAACACTTATCAAAGAAAAATACAAGGAATTGTGGAGAGAACAAACTAACAGTAAACATCCACAAGACCCCATCAGCAGACTCAACAGAAAGCAACATACAACAATGTTCCGTCTACGAACAGGACACTGCAGGCTCGACTACCACATGCATAAAATAAAGATTGTACAGTCCCCACAGTGTGCCTGTCAAACAGGACCCCAAACACCTCAGCACATTCTGCAGACCTGCCCACTCTACCTGCAACTTTGAAAAGACACCTGGCCTCAAGAGCAAAGTGTGCAGAGCAAGCTATGGGGAACCATGCAGGACCTGCAGCTGACATGCGAGTACATAGAGGCAACCCGCCTGATGGTCTGATCTGAGCATACACAACCAAAAGCAAAGAAGAAGAAGAAGAAGAAGAAGAAGAAGAAGAAGAAGAAGAAGAAGAAGAAGAAGAAGAAGAAGAAGAAGAAGAAGAAGAAGAAGAAGAAGAAGAAGAAGAAGAAAGCGAGGAAACGGGTCATTTACTACTTTATTTACTAATATATCCATCAAGTCAAAGAAATCGACTAACCAGGATTATGAAGTTGTTAGATACTCATGAAAGACAAAGTCAAATAACAAAAAAGCTCAAAATCTCAGGCATTCGAAAATTGCTTAGATTACAACTTGGATGGGGCTGCTATACAGAAAGAGGTCTGCAATATATGCCAGAGATTCAACAATAAGGAACACTGTTTCCTGGAGTGTAAGAAATATGAACGCCAAAGAAAACTACGAACTGACTAGATGAGTCTCTGTAAATTAGCTATGACGATGGAAAACTTGTTGCATAGACAGCAACAGAGGCTTGTGTGACAATGTCAAGCATGTTATTACTAGAATTGAAGTCCATACAAAGAAAACTAAAGGACGCTCGTGCCATCTTAAACTCGGCGAGGGTAATCATCTATTGTATTAAGGGAATACTAAAGAACTATTTCACCGACACCATTTTTGTAAGATTAACTAAATATTATCACTTCTTCTTGTTCTTGTTCTTCTTCTCTTCCACCTTGAACCTCGGCGAAGTGTCAGGAGGAGATGTAACAGTCGTTGATGAGCTCTGTCAAGAACATTATTAATCTTGATGTTCATTTCTGTAAGGCTGTTCTTAATGAAATTACTCCATATTTTCCGATGTCTTCCACTCGCTCTATACCCGTTGTAACGTTTTAGTGTGGCTCGCTGTGGCAGATAGTACCAGGGCATTCTTGTTAGGTGCCCAAACCCCTTTATTTGTTGTTCTTTGATTACTTGTAAATTTGATTTTTTTTCCTAGCATTAGCCCTTATTACTCTTACTAAGATCCTAGCACTAACTAACTAACTAACTAACTAACTAACTAACTAACTAACTAACTAACTAACTAACTAACTAACTAACTAACTAACTAACTAACTAACTAACTAACTAACTAACTAACTAACTAACTAACTAACTAACTAACTAAACTAACCAACTAACTATACTAACTAACTGACTGACTAACAACTAACTAACTGACCAACCCACTCACTCACTCACTCACTCACTCACTCACTCACTCACTCACTCACTCACTCACTCACTCACTCACTCACTCACTCACTCACTCACTCACTCACTCACTCACTCACTCACTCACTCGCTCACTCACTCACTAAGTGAAACATTTGGAAGTAAAATGGTTATTTATGTTTAGCACCCCAATTTGTACGAAACTACCAACTTGGTCAGCCCTGGCTAGGAGTGAGTTCAGAGTTCATTCCGTGTCGGCCACAGAGAGAATCCAGTCACTTAATGAGTCAATCTTCGTGCGAACTTAAATTGTGGTCAGTCAGGCATACTTTTTTAGCTGACCATCCCGATCAGCATTAAGTTATGATAACGACTACACCTGTCCGTTTTCCATGTCTGGCATTGTAACGTCTCTGAGGTTCTTTCGGCAAGTATTTTAATATTTTATTTATAATTATGTATTTTCTGTCTTTAGGACTTTCTGTCATTTTGTCCTCAAGAAACACCCACATCACTTGAACTTCTATGCTCCCAGTAACGGTACCAAATTATCGAGGCCGAAAATATACCCTAACAGGGCCTCAATCACATGTAAATCGCGGACCTGTTTCTGGCGACTACACAGCATACCGCGGAAAAGCTTCCGCCAATTTAAAGTAACTGCGGAGAGTTTCCTCCGCGCTGCTACGGGCGGAGCGGGGCTAAGTTAGATGGCTAGGACTCACGAGCAGCAGCTACCGCATCTCCTGCAGCTTCCTTTATTTTATTTGCTCGCGAGTTTCAGCCATCTAGTTTAGCCCGGCTCCACACCTCACGGCACCAGAGATACTCTGGTAGTCACCGGAAAGAAGTCCACAATTTGCACGTGACTGAGGCCCTGTTAGGGAATATTTTCGGCCTTGATAATTTAGGACCCTTATTCGGAGGATAGCCAATCATTGTTATCACAACATCCAGGTCTTTGTGGCAATTATAATTGGGTCTAAGGATGTTAGACACATGATGTTACTCCTTGTTTATGTTGATATCATTGGAGAAAATCAACCAGACTGTAAAAACACTGACTCTCTTAAAAGAAGCAGCTCACTAAATAGGGATAGTTATCAATCAAGGTAAGACAGAATACATGATAATAAAAAGACAGGGAAAGGATTTAAACTCCGGCCTCATACAAATTGATAATATAAATATCAAACGAATGAAAACATATAAGCACTTGGGTGCAAACTTAAACTGCTCCAGCATACTGAGAGAAGAAATACAATCTAGAATACGATCTGGAAAAAAAAATATTTGTATGGTTGGGGGTCGCCACAACATGAGAAAATGTATTAAAGGGTTGCCACAACATGAGAAAATGTATTAAAGGGTTGCCACAACATGAGAAACTGTATTAAAGGGTTGCCACAACATGAGGAAGTGTATTAAAGGGTTGCCACAACATGAAAAACTGTATTAAAGGGTTGTCACAACATGAGAAACTATTAAAGGATTGCCACAACATGAGAAAATGTATTAAAGGGTTGCCACAACACGAGGAACTCTATTAATGGGTTGCCAAAACATGAGAAACTGTATTAAAGGGTTGCCACAACATGAGAAACTGTATTAAAGGGTTGCCACAACATGAGAAACTGTATTAAAGGGTTGCCACAACACGAGAAA